CGCTATTAAACTTAGGGGGTAAATAAATTGGAAAAAATCTTCATGTGGGAAAAAGACAATAAACTACAAACTGCCAACATCAAGGAAGCAAGGTTGCCATCGTTAGACATCATGTCATATGATTTTGACATTTGACAAATGTAAACAATAAAATAAATTTTTCATAATTTCATGCGGATGAAGCCGCACGAGAACAGCTTCTTGCTTATTGTTGTATAAGTTGTAATAAGTTGAGATTCAAAAGCCTGTGAAACCCTGTCTTATAGAAGATAACTCAAGTTAAAAAATAAATATTATATTAACAATAATACTATTATTGAAATGCGAAAGTTTCGATGGATGTTTGTTACTGACTGTAGCATAAACTACTGAATGGATTTCGATGAAATTTCCATAGATGTAGAGCGTAGTAATAAGAACATAGGCTACTTTCTTTTGCTTTTTATTTCCACGCGAACGGAGTCGCGGGCGATAGCTAGTAAGATTAATCTCATGGTTGTGGGTTCGATGCCCTGGGACTGTCTGGGACTTAGGTAGACATGCAAAATGCCTCGTAGAAATTCAATTGTTACCTTCAAAATTATGTCAAACGGCAAGTTCATAAATAATTCGTATGCGTTTGATATAATTTGTTATGACGCATGTTTATTGAAGTGAACGGAATGAACTGAACGGTATGAAGATCGATAGGTGAGTCGTCTTATGTCTTGTGAATGACTCCTAAAGGTATAAATAGTTTTTGGTAGGATTGTAAATTGTTAAGGGGGCGGTGGATGAAAATACAGCACTACACAAGCCAGTAGCTGGCACACATACAATCTACATGCAAGTTACTAGTACGATTCACAATGAATTACGTGACAGCTACGGGTATATAAGTTGAGGGAAGAGATCAAGAAGGATTAGCTTTGACACTAACACTTAGGTCTTATCCGATCTTGTGAACATTTTACTGGTAATTGTATACTTATCACGACAGTAACTGGCACGTGTCAGTTAAAGATGCTGCTATTTGACTGACAAGTGTGTTCCCGCCCTTATACATTACTGTGAAAAGCGATAACAAAATATTTAATTTCATCACAATATTTCCACTGGAAAGAGAGTTAATTTTTTTTCTGATATTATCTCGCCAGTGTAAACCCACGCTTATTTCGTACAATAGAGGTCGAATGACGCAGCACATGAATGAAACTAGACATGTAAAGTGTTACAACTTGTCTGAATATAGACTACAAGCTATTTATGCCTCGTCTGCTGAGTTAAATAACCTTTGTACGTTTGCGAAAGGATTTGATTACTTAAAGCGAGCACACCTTTGAATAAACTATCGCACAACTGTTTAGTCGCGCTTTAATTCTTAAGAATTTATATACGTATATGTGCACACACAACTCGATTTTTAGTTTTGCGACTAAACAGTTGATTGGGCTGCGAAAAAATCGATAATAGCATAACAGTTTGATGTCACTGTCAGATAAGGGAGCAAAATCTGATATTTTCATCACATTTTATACGTTCGATTGTTATCAGACAATTTATAATTTGGTGGTAAAGACCCTAAATATGGTAGGCCCTACATTTGAATTTGAATTAACACATTCAGGCTTTTAACTTCTTAACGCACTCAATAATTAAGTAATATCGCTTCTACTTTAATTTTTTTAATCAGTGTCTAATTAAAAACTGTAAGTACGGCAGTTAGTGCAACCATACTTCATACTAATATTATAAATGCAAAAGTTTAGATGGATGAATGGATGTTTGTTAGAGTTTGTAGCCTAAACTGCTGAACGGATTTCGATGAAATTTGATAAAGATGTAGAGGATAGTCTGGAAGAACACATAGGCTTTTTTGATTTTTTTTTAATTCTACGCGGACGGAGTCGCGGGCAAAAGCTAGTCTTTTATATATGGTACTAAAGCTTAAGACTGCTCATTTTTCTTTACAATCTGGATTAAGAAATTTTGCAGTGCGGATAAAATGTCTGCAAATACGACTGCATCTTGCGGTCGATGAACTTGCAGACAGGGTTGGCGACGTCTGATAAATTGCTTTACAAATAACTGTTATTTATTGCTATATAAAACTTTGGATTAAGGGGATAAAGATTATTTGTTTTAAAGGCGTTTTTGGTAGTAATACACTTAAAAACCAAAAACAACTTTTTTAATTTAAACATATTACAAATATCATTAAAATTACTATTTAGTTACTAATATTCTTTGATGACAAAATGTACTTAAATAGTGAAGGTAGAACACTAAATAAATACTTGCAAAATAATTATTAATCTACTAGAGTAGTGTAAACATTAAAAAGCTTAGACCTGGCGCACATCTTTGACTGAACTATCGCATAACGGTTGTGCGATTGTCGATTGTTTCTTAATTGTTTAGTATCACAAAAAATCAAGAAGTACACGTTTAACATATAAGCTAAGAAATCCAAGTGAGACTAAACAGTTTTGCGATGGTTTAGTTTCAGATATGCTCTTAATACCTTATCAAGAACATCAAACAAATCTGTCAAAAGTTGTCTATGGTACTCGGTTAAACTTCTTGGTTATATAGGGTTAAAGCCTTAACGTCTCTGCCTAGTATAGACTTTTCTGACTTACTGTGGTCAAAGTTTGTTATAGACTACCTATTTACAATTTAATCCCTCTGTCAAAGTTTCTGTTAGTCTGTCCACGCCACATAACACCATCTCTCCGTTTTAATTGATTTCATGTAGATTATAAAATTAAATCTATAAACAAGCATTTTAAGTAATGGATTTTTTAATCTTAACTTTACTAAATTTAAAGGTACTTTTTTATTTTTAAATAAAAAAATAAATAAAATAGCTCACCGAAAATCATCCCTCAGCCATAGGGATAGGGATAGTTATGCGTTGTCTGAAAAAAAATTCAGCAAACCTACTTGATAACTTCGAGTCAACAGTTAGCCACGAGCTATCGCGGGGTGCGGTTGTCTAGGGTGTAGTCCCGTTATTTGACAAAGTTACGTGTGTTGTGAATGTGTTGTACAATTTTATTATATTTTGAATCAGTTAAAGTGTAACATAAAGTATTTTGTCTGTAAAATGTGAGTATTATTTTTTAAAACATTAATATTTGTAATATTTTTAGTATTTTACATTTTACGGATGAATCCTGAAACGACATTTTTTATTTATTTTTCTTTTAACAATACAAAACAATAAAAACTATGTACATAAAAAAGGCTAAATAAACCTCAGGTTTTTAAATACGTGTGTCGTAAATAATAGCTTCCAATCCCAAATCCATAAAAATTTGACTTGGATCAATTGTAAATGACGATTAGATACCGAAGAGTTTAAAAGTCGTTTTAATATTCAGCCGTCAGTTATTTTATATATTTAAGAGGTATAGCTCCTTTGTAATTTATTTTCCAAAAACGTATTGGAAATAGCTACGTAAAATTCCTTATCAAGACATCGTAAGTTTTTCTTAAAACGAACAAATTAATAATAAAAAAAAGCTTTTACTGTAGTAACAATAATGTAATTTAATATCGTATAAATGCTTTTTAAAATCATTGTTTTTTTAATTTCAACTTATTTCTTAATTATTCTTCAAAATTGTTAAGTTGATAACGTATTATTTATTTATTACTAGATTTCGCCCACGACTCCGTCCGTGAAATTAAAAAAAAAAAAAACAAAACTAAGTAGCTCATGTGTACTTCCAGACTATCCTCTACATCCATGTCCGAATTTCATCGAAATCCGTTTAGCCGTTTAGTTTACAAACTCTAACAAACATCCATCCATCCATCTCAACTTACGCATTTTTAAGTAAGAGTAAGATTTTGTTTATACTACAAAGAGAACAAAAACCAGCAAAGCCTGAAATAGAGCAATTTCATGTTTATTTATTATATTATTTCTGTTTATACTTAATGATTCGTGCTCTTAGTAAGCAATTTATAAATTATATCATATCAAGTATCACAATATTATAGTCATAAAAATCTTACTCACAGACTCCCACACAACCAGACAGTTCATCTCCCTTATCTACTTTTCGTAGAAAATCTGAAAATGTCTTAACAGCACCAATTAGTCTGTTATTCCGAATCTATTTTACTTAGCTCTTAATTCTTAATGGATTCCAATAATACAGCCTAATTAGCTTAAAGGTATTTTTCAAGGAATATGAATTCTAAAAAAAAGTATTAAATTTCTCCTAGCAAACCCGAGGAAAAGTTCAATTTTAGTTCGCACTCAGGATGCATAAGTCGTCAGTTCGCCACTCATAGCAGTAAATGGTTCACCTGAATGTACCTTTATGCAAGAAATTAATAAGGAGTAAATTTTAGTGACTCTGAGTACAGCAGTGTGGTAGTTCATTTAATGTTCAGTCTGTACCTCTATATCTATACTAATATTATAAAAAAGATTTGTATTTTTATATGTATTCGAATCGTCTAATACTACTAGGCCGATTCCAAAAATTCCTTTCACCATTAGAAAGGTAATTTAGGCTACATTTTTATTATTCTTTAAATTCACGCGGGCGAAGTCACAAGCAACAGCTATATCATATATAAAGAGGTTAGAAACTGTAAACAAACATGTTAGCATTAACTTTAATTAATTAAGTATCCATTGAAGCACAGGTATGGAAATTCCGTTCCATAGACAAAACATAACAATAGTTTCGCAGCATTATATGTGCATAGCAACAGCCAGTTACATCGTACGAGCAAACGACGTAATTGTGGTACAGGTCGCGGACATCCTACGCGGCAATCATTCAATTATAGACACGCTGATCGTGATACTGTACGTAACATATTTCCGGATACATAAAAGTATTAAGAAGATTGAATCCAAGATTTTTAAAACATTTTACTTCTTACTATGTTACTAATATAATAAACTAGCTGTTCATCGCGACTTCGCCCGCGTTAAATTAAAATCTAACTGTTTCCGTGGGGCTTTATCCGCATGAAATTATGAAAATTTTATTTTATTGTTTACATATGTTAAATTATCAATAACAAATGTCAAAATGACTTGACATGACAAACCTTAGCAATCTAGCTTTCTTGATGTTGGCAACAACTTATGGTCTCTTTCCTGCATTAGGGTTTTAGAAAGGACCTTAACTTATCTATACTTCTATACTATTATAATAAAGCGTAAACACACACTTCTTTGTTGCCTAAAATATCAGCAATGGGGATGTTTCCTAATGTTACAAATCCAAATAAAGTTATGTTTAATATTTTAAAGACAGCATTTTATAACCTATAATAACATTTAGAGACCTTGAATGTTTGTCTCAAATTAAATATAAATTAAAAACGCTGCAATATTTTTTACCCTCCATTACTCGATCTCAAACACCAATGACGTCACTTTCTTGCATATAACATGGCAGTGTGACCAACTTCAGTGAATGTCAGTGCATTTTGTAGTTATATTTTTTTCTAAATGATTGTAATAATTGAATTTGCGTGTTTTATATTATGAGGACTCCATTATTGAGTGTTTTTATAATTACGACATAAGTTATGAGCAAAACATTTTATGAATATTACAAAAGAAAAATATATCAAAATTCATAAGAGTAGCTTATAGTACAATTTATTTCATACCTGGTCACACTGGTGTAGGACGCAGTCACTGTTTACACACAAACATAATCTTCCACGAGAAGCAACAAGTGTAATTAATACGTTAAAAGTATCACCTTCTGTTCATTTTGGTTTTTTTCATTTTTATCTCCATTACTAAAAACAACTTTAGACAACAAAGATTTACGAGTATTATCAATCAATTTGAAAGGGTCCAAAAGTATAAGTACTTAGGCTGCTTTGTGGATGATCAAGCTGATCACCGAGTAGAGATTCGATGCAGGATAGAGCAAGCGCGAGGAGCTTTTGTTAAGATGAGGAAACTTCTCTGTAATAAAAATCTAAGCTTGAAACTTCGGACCCGTCTTGCACGCTGTTACATCTTCTCCATTCTTCTGTATGGCGTCGAAGCTTGGACTTTATCTAAAGCAATGTGTAAAAAGATCGAAGCTTTCGAAATGTGGACATACAGAAGAATGTTAGGCATATCCTGGAGAGACAAAATAAGGAATGAAACAGTGTTGCAACTAATGAAAAAAGAGGTGGAAGTTATCAAAACTATAAAAAAACGGAAATTGGAATATCTTGGGCATATTTTGCGTGGACCGAAATACGAATTGTTACAGACTATCATTCAGGGTAAGATTCTAGGGAAAAGAAATCCAGGAAGGAGAAGAACATCGTGGCTTAAAAATCTTCGCCAATGGTACAACAAAAGTACGCGTTCTATATTTAGAGCTGCTGTGTCCAAACTTCAAGTCGCTGTAATGATTGCCAATCTTCGTTAGGAGACGGCACCAAAAGAAGAAGATCAATCAATGGTTCTTTCAAATTGACAGCGACAGGCCGTGACGCGAGGTTCGTATGCAAAGAAGTGACGTCATGGGACGTTTTAGGGGGGAAATGAAAGAGTGGTTTTTATTTACGTGTTTTTTTATTGAAATAATGAGTATTATATTTTATACTATTTTTTTTCGTGTTCATACATGGTTTATCTACAAAATAAAGGCTATTCCAAAAATTAGGAAACATCCCCATTACACCATATTTTTGAATTCTTTTGGTAATAAAAAGCCCTACACTTACGTCACGCTTTAGGCTATATATTTTCACGCCATTAAACATAGGGGGTAATTATTTTGGATAAAAACCCTAATGTGGGAAAGAGACCATAAGTTGATGCCAACATCAAGAAATTAAGATTGCCAAGGTTTGTCATGTCATGTCATTTTGACATTTGGTATTGATAATTTGACAAATGTGAACAATAAAGTAAAATTTTCATAATTTCATGCGGATTAAGCCGCACGGGAGAACAGCTTGTAGTTCCTAAATACCAAAAATAACAAAAGGTTACTAATGCGGGTTTCTGAAGTTTCCATTTATTTTATCATTATCTAGTTTTTCATTATTATTAGATCGAGCTATGTTTTAAACTCAAGTTACGTAGTTCGGAAACGCATTTCATTAGTTTATGTTTATAGTTTATCGAACCAAAAATACTAACAAATGATTAAACGTAGCTGGGAAACCAGCCGTAAGAGAGATCTTTTTAACTAGAAGTATCTTAGAAGATAAATATCTGTTTATTTCGCGACAGATAAAAGAGGTCATCCACCCCGCGGTCGCGGCCGTGACCTCCACTGACAGCTTCCCAAAACAGACGCTAAGACAAAGAATGTCCGGTCCTCGTGTCGCAGTCACTATGTCCGGTAAGTCATTCCGCGAAACGTCCGGATTGCTCAATCCGATACACTCCGCATCGGATGTTGTGATTGCATTATATCCGTTTTATAAAGTAAACAAAAAAACATTATAGATGACTAAGATAATATTGTATATAATTTCATTTATTTTGTTATTTTTTAGCTTTACATATCGATAACAGATTTAAATTGTCATTATTATATCAATATTCTATTAAAATGTTAGATAATTTTGTAAAACAACTGCATCTTAAGAACATAAAGTGTTTAAGTATGTTTTAATATGAAGTTAAGTTAATTAATGCCGTACATTTACGTATAGTCTCCTAATCTAAGGATTTTATTTGATAAATATTCACTGGTAACATTGTAAATTATCCGACAGCTCGTACTGTCTGCAACATAAATCATAATTGGTAAGGTAATGACTGAAGCCAGCAAATTAATATGTAAGCCGCGTGCTTGAGGCACTTGCTCGTGCGATGGTACAACGTTGAAATTGTCACATAAACTTTTATACGCACCAGTACATAATAATTTTACGTTGAAATGTTAAGAGCAAAACTTATTTTGTATTTAAATTGTCCTATTAACTAATTAGAACTCTTTACATTTATTTTTTTATTATCTTTTTCGTAGTAACAAAATATTACATTTTTAAATGTGTCTTTTAATATTGGTTAAAAAAAGATCACATGAATCTTTTTTTTGTTATTTGTATTAACAAAACTGTTGTCCATGCAACACGATGTGTTCAAATACGGTTAAAAAAATAGTTCAATTTCTTTGTTCATAATATATACTATAAATGGGCAAATTTCAAAAAGTGCGTTTTATCTAAAATTAGTTACTCTTTGTTACAAGCACCCCTTCCAATCGTAACCCTAATCTGGCATCGAATCCGATACCAAGTTAACAATGGTGATGAAAAAAAATCAATAAAAATCGATAATCGCTCGCCGGCGTGACACGGAGAAAATAATTGAAGGGTAGTAAAAAATACCCTCAATTTATAAAAAAAAACTAACTCGGTTTTTGTTAAAAGGATTCCGCACACTATGAACACCTGGCAAGCCTTGTAACCCTGGGTTTCCACTACTGAAACATACAAGCAACAAGATAGAAATTTTGAATGAATTTTGACACTTGTAGAAACGCTTGGAAGACAACTTTTGTTGATCCTACTCAATGATTTAAACAATAATATCATGATCATCAACTTCCCTACTGTTAACTAACTAACCTTCCAACTCCCTACTTCATCCCTACTGAGAGTTACCACATTATGTGCTGCTCTTCCATACATTTCTATCAGCCGTCATATCGGAATCCCCTCCGTTCTTAAGCATATCCTCTTTAAAACAATCCATCCATACTTTCTTCGGTCTACCTCTACCTTTGTAGCCATCCACATTCAATCTTAACACTTTCTGGTTTATCATATGTCCCCCATTGTCTCGTCGCATAACATGTCCATACCACGCTAACCTTTTGCTTTTCAATTTCTCCACCACTGGCGTTACTTTCAAACTTCGTCTAATATAGGAAGTTTCAATTAAAGAAGGATTCAAACAACGGTATAATGCCTTTAATATTAAGAACAAAACGTTACAATAATGGAAAAATAATTATTACTGGCAGTTGTTTTTTTAATTTTCCACCGGCCCTGGAATCAGCTGCTGCGTTCACAAAAGAGGCTTTATACAAGTTAGTACGCGAAAGGGATGTTCCACACAATAAGCTTTTTTACTACTATTTTAACAGCGCAAAATGTTGAACTGTACGTTAGAATAGTATGGACGTACCCAAATACTTTTTTACTATAGCAACTATTTAGAAATACTAACATAAACAACTTTTAAAAACAAGTACAAAAAAAATTTAAATTTCTAATGAGGTATTTTTAATCGTCTTATCGATAGTTATTCTTCTATTTTCTTCACTACACTGATATCTATGTGTGTATGTGCAGATTCATTGCAGCTTTATCGTATTGTCATATAGTTTATAACTACAGATTCTTAATTATTCTATATAGATCACTATTGGAGCCTAGTAAGATCCACGAATAGATTACACATCAAGTTTATTATTTTCTTGGAAACACGGTTTTTATTCAATTTTTTAATTAGGATAAAATAAGATCCATATTATTCTATCGTGTAGTGTGAACAACAAAAAACGTATAACCCTGTTTGGCGTGCGCGATGGTGCACAAAAGGCTCCGTATGTCGCACAACCGGCGCGACTAGGGTACCACGGGTGGTACACGCGCTCTGCGGTACCACTATTTTATTATTATTAAATAATTAATCACCAGAGCGTCGGTGGCTCAGGGGTTTGAAAACATGACTTGTAATCTACATTTTTTGGGTTCGATTCCCACCATGAACTAATGTGATTTTCAAATTTCATATGTACATAATTTACCCGACGTTCTTACGGTGAAGGAAAACATCGTGTTACAACCTGCACATACCAGCAAATAAATTTAAAGATATGTGTGAAGTCAACCAATCCACATTGGGCCAGCGTGGTTGACCATGGCCTAGTCACCCCTTATTAGGGTAGGCTCCGAACCGAAGTGTGCTGGTTCATGGTTTATAAAATTCCCGGAACGAAGAAATAATGCGCCAAATTAGAGAACAACGTGAAAAGACAGTGTATTTAAAAGTCTTATCTACGTTAACAAGAAAAAAGGCGTTTTATAGCAACTATCTGTATCTATACTAATATTATAAAGAGTAAAGATTCTCAAAAACAACATGGCTGGTTCCAAAAATTCTTTTACCACTTAAAAGCGTTATCGCTGAGTTATGTAGACTCTATTTAATTTCACGTACGAAGTCGTGAGCAACAGCTAGTCGTTGATACTTTTGACTTTCAAAACCTTCTAATAAAAATCTAGAATAATCTACCTCAACGAGACATAAATACTTGATATACTGTCTTTGGAATGCCTGATAATTATCCAGTGTCTATATTTACGGAAGAAGTCTATATTTGGCTGTTCCCAGCAGGTGTATGCAAGGACGACATGTCTGTGTTTCTGCATTGCAGTGTATGTACTTGTGAGCAAGTGCCGCGTGGCTGTGCAGGCTTCTCTGAACAGACGTCCAGTGAGAGCTTGTTGCGACGCGTCTTTATATATGGTACAAGTTATAAACGATGAACGAGCTAACATACGTAGTATGTTAGGATAAATTACTACAGTCTATATACGTAACTGGAATGTTTTCTACACCGTTTTGTTAGCTTTTATTATCTCCAAAACAAGTTTAAATGTTAATTACATATTTAGAATAGTATCCGTGTTTGTTACAAAGTTTCAAGTCATAGTTGTCTAAAACGAACTTATGTCAACCGGATTGTATAAAAAAAGTTATTTCTTAGCTCGCTTAGCAAACGTTATTAGACCTATACTAAAGAAACAAAGGCTGTGTAATAGTAATTTTGAAAATAGAAGAGATAGCTCTATAAATCCCTTTGGTTTCCCAACATAAACGTAATTTAAAACTCGCTGCCGCTTATAACAAACACCATACACACACGGCGCCCGAGATCCGGTTTGGCAACAGGTCGAGGCTTGTTAAAAAAACGTCTGGCGGCGGTCTGGTCGGCGCACGTCTGCACAGACCCAGCAAGGCCAAAGGCTTCCTAGAAGGGCAATTAACAGCCTACAAGTAGCTCCAACTTGACAGACTCGTCCACACTTCCTTGAAGCATAGGTTGTCTTGATACAGGTGTCCTATATTTACTTGAAGTACTAACTTGAAGTACTCTTGTATTTTTTACGTACTGTTGTTTGTTTCAAATTACTTACCTACAAATTCTTATAAATATGCCACTGGTTTAACGCTGATATGTTTTTATTATACTTTTTGATTTTACATGTAAAGAAAACAACTTAGTACTTTTAGTATTTCTGTAATTACACATGTTCTCGGTTGATATTTTAGCAAGTATTTAAACGATTTTAACAAATTATAAAGTTAAAAAACTATTCGTAACAAATTACTGATTTAGATTCCAATTGTCAGTTAGTTAACGCCTAGTGATTTAATAAATTGGCATAATTCATTATTTATCGGTGACATTACACATGGGAACATTAGACGAGTATTTGCATATCGTGTGTCGTAAGGTGACTGCATGCTGTGCTGTATGACGTCACGTGATCAGTGGGGACACACCCGCTCTCCACCGGATGCCCCCCAGACATAATAACAGATAATACTGAATCTTGTGGTCACACTGCTAGCGGGTAAAAACACGGAAAACCAACGTTAAAATTGACTAAAACGGGTTATATAAACAATTTACTGCAGTATACTGTCACCACAAAATCGTAACTTACTCGAGATATTTATAAAGAAGGTTTTCCCGCAGCTTTGTTCGCGCGGAATTAAAAACTCAGTAAGGTTCCTACGTAGTTTTTCAGATTATATTTTAAATTTGTGACTTTCATCGATTTGCATTAAACTATTTTAAATGTTCGTAGACACTTTCGAATTAACAATATTGACTAGTACGTTTAGTTGCATTTTTTTAAACGCCTATCGCTTTCCGCTGCAACACGGGCCCTGCATCAGTAATCGACTATCGAGATACTGTGTCTATTATCGAACGTAATTCAACCGAGAGATGTCACTGCGAATTCATTTATCTCAATGTTAGTTTATCTAGAGATCTAACTCTTTTGTACTGACTGGAAGGAACGATGACCCGGTCAAGGATGCTGAAAACCATTGGTTAACGGTAGAACTTATTTACTTAATTACTGCATTGGCGCAGCGACCCGAAGTGGGTCTTGACCTCCGACACGAGACAGCGCCAGCGTCGTCTGTCCTGCGTCGTTGCCTGCCAGTCGATGGAATCTGGCTCGCGCAGGTCCAGCTCTACGGCTTCTCGCCAGCAGTATCTGGCCAGGCCGACGGGTCGGCGGCCAATCGGTATTCCGAGATACGCTTTTTTGGCTCCACGATCCTCCTCCATTCTCATCAAGTGGCCCAGCCAGCAAAGTCTCTGGGCTTTGACTTCGCCTAGGATGTTCGGCTTTCCCACCAGACTTTCTATTTCCAGGTTGTGTAAAGGTAGAACAGATCTGTGTAAAGCAGTGGTGTATATTTTTAAAACAAATGGCACGTAAATTTACGTACGACTTTTAACTGATTTGTTGCCGTCTAACGATCGTTTGTTCAAGCTTAAGAGGATCCTCACGATACAGGCTGCGCCTAGTACGAGGGTACTGATCACTACATATAAAATCTACTGTATCCATAAACAAGATTTTTCTATTACCGATTATGATTACGATTTTAAATAATTCGTTTTATCATTTTTCAATTTGGGATCCAATCCAGTATCTTATTTTGACTTATGTTATTCGTTTATTGAACGTCTATTGACTAAATTATTTGCCGTATAGTCAAACATGTCTCTAATTAAAAAAAGTAATTGAAATTTTATTAGTTAAAAAATTCAATTAAAATGTTGAATTTTGTCAATTTCAGGTGGTGTCCCAGTCTCGTGACTTCTCTGCTATTGCTGTAATGTCTACTTCCAGAAGATATCTCAAAAGGTAAAAATCAATAAATCATACTAATAAAGTATATAAGATGGATGGATGTTTGTTAGAGTTTGTAGCCTAAACGGCTGAACAGATTTGGATGAAATTTGGTATAGATGTATAGGATAGTCTGGAAGAACACATAGGCTACTCACACTATTCACCTGGACGTAGTCGCGGGCGTAAGCTAGTATTTAATAACTTAAAACACCGAAGTAAGACTTATTTAACTTTTCCTCCAGTTTTAACTAAACATTCGGACTGTTCAGTTAAAACTGAACATGTGTAGCCACGCTTAGCGACGAAAAGATCACATATCTGAAAATTTAGCAAAAAGAGCAGCCAACTCAATAGTTACTGTGAAATTTCCAATCTAAAGTATCAAAACATTGTTGTCTGTGTTTTTTTTTTAAAAAAGCAGTTGATTACAAGTTGTGAAACAAGTAATACTTTAGTGATAAACAGTTACAAACATCACTGGACCGAGTCTTAACAAAAACAATTTATTCTATTTATAGAGAAGACAGAAGGACGACTTTATCTTTAAATGTCACTCCGTCAATTAAGATAACGAGCAAGTGCAGTTTGCGTCTCCTTGCAATTTAATATAATTTATTTGTTTACGTACTGTAATCGGACAGTTAATAAAACCCACTAAGGACAAAGAGTAAAGATAGACTAAGAAATAGAAATTCATCTTTACTCTTTGATGAAAAGCTTTAGCGATGGTTTCAATTGTTTTTAAAATATTATATCAATACAAAGAACAAAGAGCAAGAGATATTACAGCTTAATTCCAATTTCCAGACGAGTCAAGTATACTGGCGGGCGCATAGCAACAGTCGATGTGATGCGTCTAGCCGCTCCCCCGCCCCCCGCACTGCGACCCCCGGCGCCAGCGGGGGGCGCACCCCCAGACCGTCTAGACACTTTCTAGACACCCCCCGCTTACCTGCTCGTTATTTCAACTATTCATAGAACCTTTCTTTACTAATCATTTGATTCAAAGAAATTGTGTTCTTTGATAAATACAAGGTCTTAGAAAAATGGCTAGACAGAACAAATAGGTCGATATTATAAGAATAACAGACTCGTCAAATCTGTACAACTATATGTCATCATTTTTACTCTTTTAGCAATAGCATCCATTGTACACATTTTTTACGGCTTTTTCACAAGATTCCGGTAAACATGGCGAAGCGAGCGCCATCTGCCGTGTTTCTCACGCACTCCGCCGACATTTTTATTCTTTTTTTTAATTTTCGCGCCACGGAAGTCGCCATTGTGCACCTGCTCTGATTTACACTAAATATTGTAACTACAGGTTAATTTTTTTACTGCAAGGATTGTTTGCATTTATTATAGATTTTTTATTCTTAAATCAGACATCCTTGTCATTATTTTTTTTCGTATGAGCAACAATTTTTTTTTGATATTCATTTGAACGGACATTTTTGACTAAACTATCTAATGACTTTTGCAATTGTTATTGTTTCATAGCAAATTCATGTTTTTAGTTGCAAAACTGTGCGCACCTCCCTATAAGCTCATAGAAATCAAAGCAAGACTAAACAGTTGTGCGATAGTTTTGTAAATACAGTATATTAGTTTGTTATTTTAAATAGTGATGTTCTAAAGATAAATAAGCTACTGGGAACATTTTTCATTCCCATCTATTTGTTCCGGTCCACTATCCGCGTAAACTTTGTAATACAAACTTGTCGAGGTGTTAAATAAAAAAAAAACACACAGGAAATAATCAATAAATCTTATAACAATACGACTTATATCAATAGCTTAGTCATTTTTTGTATTTTGAACCCCCATGTCTTTTGTAAAGTTTTGTCTCACCTAGCCTTCTTTACGTCATTTTTCTTTTTTATGTTTTTAATCTTAACGGTCTACAATTAAATTAAGAACGTGAGAAAATACTGGCATAAAAAAAATAAAGTCACGCTCTGTGCAGGATACTGGCAACATTGTAGAAATAAATCACGATCTCACGCGAGATCGGATGTAAATGCCTATTTCAACTTAGCTGCTTTCGCGCCACTTTATGAGAATGCTATTTAAATTAAAGCTAAGTGGAAGTAAGCATTATACCATAGACCAATACTTGTTTTTAAATTACTACGTCTATATTTATATTTCTTCATTTATTTTTTTCAGGTTATCGTAACGAAGAAGTGGATTTAGCTGCGAAAAGAAAAATAGACTTGACATTCGCTGAATACCCATCCAACTCCTTATAAATTCAATAAAAAGCAATGGAATTGACGACATGAACGGATACTTTAGTATAAAATAAGTTCTGGTAAAAACTTATTCTAAATACCACATTTATATCGTGAATATTTTAATGTTTTGTGACAGATGAGCAGGGCCTGCTTTAGAATTAAAGTCGCCCTGGGCGAGAATCTACAACGCCTAACACATAACGCGCCCCTTTACGTCCGTCGCCCTGGGCTGTCACTCCACCTCGCTATACCCTAACGCCGGTATTGTAGAAGCATGAGGTTAGTATGAAGGTGGGAATTGAAACAAAGTTTTACTTTCTATCCAGTTATAGTGTTTACTAAAGGCGACCCTTTGTGTACACTAACGCCCTGAGTTTTATGGTTACATAGCAGTCCTTTTGTGGGGATTTTTTACAATAAGTCTACACTCAAGGACTCCCTTGGTTACCGTATAACGAAGAATCGAAAGACTTCTGTGGCAGTTAGCGTCTAAATTTTAGTTAGAACTGAATATAGTTTGCAATATGCGAATGATTTTAAAAAGGACTATTGATAGAAAGTTGGGGAGGAATTTATTTCAGAAAAGCTTTTGTATACTTAAATACTAAACATCTATTCTTTCTATCATATTTCTAGATTGCACATTTTTTTTAATTTCGTGCCGCTAACCGACTAGAATCTTTGTCAATTCGTTATCAGAAATATAAACTGTGTTGAATTTTCATTGGCTATAAAATATTTATTTATTTATCTTATCTATTTATATATATATATTGTTTACAAGCTCAATAGCTTCTAGTATTTTTAGTTCTTTATTGTTTTGTTAATTTCTGTGTTATTTTTGTTTCTTTTTTATTCTTTGTTTCTTTGTTGCGATAGCTCTAACAATATTAGAGTTCTAATATTGTTGGATATATTGTTTTCCTTTTAGCACCTTGCCCCCCTCAACTGGAACCCGTAGATCCGAACTTGTGCGCATTTGTCGTTCCGGAGACGCCATCTTGCGATCTATCTGTCAATTTTTCAAAACAACGTTTAGAAATTAATTTTCAAAATATGTTTGGCCATAGATTAAAAATTATTAAGTAAAAAACGTTTTTATGATAATCTATGACAGCCCTTTCGCAGTTTGCGCGTCTTCACACAAGTTTGGTGATACGCGGGCGCAGTTTTGGCGGGAAATCGTCGTCTTCTTCGTTTTTTTTTCGTTCATTTATTTGTAGTGTGCACATCTTTTTTGTTATTATTTATGTTTTTTTACTTTTTTAGTTTGAGTGTTATATATTTACTTTTAATAAAATAAGCCTTTTCAATAAAAAGAACTAGAAACATCACATGGTCGCAATGTAGCAAAATGAAAGTTTTTGTAATAATTTGAGAAGTATATTTTTAAATGAAAAGTATGTACTGCACTTTCCTATGGCAACCTAAAACTATAACTTGGTTCAATAGTAAATAACATTTTTATTAATATTGCTTAAAACATTATGCTAGTGGGTTATCACTTAAAAAGTCGATATACACTAAAACCATTTATCCCTATCTCTGTTCTTTTCCTATGTCCCAAAAGTGGGGCAGAGGACGTCTACAGTACGCTGCCAGCTCGCTCTGTACTGGGCTCTGCGTTTGGTCTCGGACCATGATTTATCCCTATACTCTTATAATAATATACTTTTCAGAACATCTCCATTTGGTATTTTCATTAATCTTAATTTAATTCTTAGATTTATTTAAATATAAAAAATAAATCAAACGCATCAAAGTAAATACTTGATTATGCTATCAACTGTTTAATAAAAGTATTGTTTTTTATGCTATTATCAATTTGTTAAAAGATATCAAAATAACGATTTAAATTACAACCAAACTAGTTCTCGTCCGCGATTTTGTCCACGCAAAATAAAAAAAAAAAACTTAGGAGCTGTTCTATTCCGTGTTTCCACGCCTTTCTTTAAGATCTGTTGAGCTGTTCGGGTTCCCTTAAAAATCTATCTATATATAAACTTTTGCATTTATAATATGATAGTAAGAAAGCAAGATAATCCATATACCAATAGTATAGAAGACTTTCAACAGACAAAAGTTATTTTAAGCCACAAGCCTACAGCCCTTCTCGAGATCTTGGATTCAAATTCTAAAAATAAGCCTAGAGCTTACATTAGTTTGATAATATGAAATAGCTATGTTTAAATTCTTAAATGGAACTTCATCTTAGTCCATAATTATTCCACATAATTTATATTATAAAGATAATAGTAACAAACTTGAAGACAGAAGACAGAAGATAAGTTGGCGACAAAGCCGCCGGCATGGTGAGGTAGTAGGTTGTATAGTACTGCATTACAACTATTAGGGGAGACTGTATAGCCTGCTAACTTTCCTGGCCGGCGGCGAAACGACCGATAGAAGACTGCACGAAAAAAGAAAAAAGAATACTTCGAGTTTTAATTTATTTTTCTACTAATTGATGTAAAAAATACAATTGGAAACCGTTTTTTAATGTATTTTATGCTTATAAGTTTTAGATATTATATAATTCATTTTTAATATAACAATTACTAGTCAGTATTTAGAAATTTTATTCTTTAAAGTTAGCTGTAAAAATATTATAAGAAGATTTATTTTTTTTTACTAATACATGTAATAAACAATTTTATGTATGGAAAGCTTTTTATTTTATGTAATCTATACTCACACAATATAAATAAGGCTGGAAAATACCATAGACTAAACATACGAAGATCCAAACTACAGCACGTCATAGACTAAGTAAGAACATAAAAATCCTGGAGTCGTTGATATCAGCTTCTTTATTATATCAGTTTCTAAACTATGCTAAATCAGTTCCATATTTATCCATAATATTGCGATGGTTTTCTTAATTTAAAAAATAAATCTAGGTATAAAATATTGTGAATATTATTAATACTAATAAAATTAAAAACCGTACGCCACGATATTTCGACTAGCAAATATTAAAAAGCCGTTACAAAATAATACTTTTTTTTTATCCCAAAGAGTAAAACACCCTTCGTATTAACCCATGAAAGAGTAAATTAAAAAAAAGAACGACACATTTGAGTGGCCAAATACAATATCTAGTTGGGAATTTACTTAAAAAGCGTTATTTTATAACAAAAAATGTGCATCCGCACAAAAGGCACAGCAAGGGTGATTGCTTTTGTCGCGAAATACTCCTTTTTTGGCATTTTTCAACCACCTGGTGTACGTCTGTTTGATTGGGGTTATATACATATTTTTTTTTACGAAATTTGACACCGATGCCTAATTATAAAATAGAGAAAAAAATGAGCTATTCAGTAACTTATAGGATTGAAAGTTTATTCTTAATAATACTTCTTACATTTTTTATATTAAAAACTATATTTATTTTTTACAGAAGTTTAACTAACCTGAAGTTATAAACGTTTTGCGTATTTACTTTTAGTAAAGAGAAATATAAAATAGGGAGTAGAAGGGAAAACAAATCGTAGAACATCATAAAACAACGTAAGTTTTGGCTACTTTGCGCCGGTTTAAACAGTTTTCCCCGATCGAACCGGACTTTATTGCTACTAGTTTGGTCTCTGTATAATTCTCTTGTTAGTCTTGTAAATCATAAGCAAATTAAAACCAAGCCAGATGGCACGTTGCTGTTGATTAGGTAATCACAAGTCCAGGATAATAAAATCAAGTTAAAACATCATAGTTTGATGTTCAACCTATTGTATTTCTGTATTCTGGTTTCTGCAAACGCACTTTGAAGCATCCAGCGCCATCTATTAGGAGAAAGATTAAAATTTACAAAATCTACAAACACGCCATCTATTATCAAAAAGAAACAATTTTTTTTTAATAAAAATCTGTGAAAGTAATTAATAACATTTTCTAAGGAAAACAGTTACTTTAATTATTCATAACACAATTATCACATTGAATTAAATGTAATTACATTTAAACTGAAGCTTACCTTGAACAGCTGACTGGAGATAAAAACAACTATTTTCCGTCTGGCAACACTTCCATTTGGACTCCTGCAATATCATAGCTTGTAAAATAAACTTTATCTTAGTGGAAAAAGGATTATAATACTCCATATATTTGATACGGAAGTGCCATAAAAATAGGATTGCCACACCAACAATTCAAGTGACGTCACTCGAATGGATCCATGGAGCCTTAGCACATCTAAAATTACATGAGCTCTAGAAAAATATTGCACTGCGAACACCATGTATATTTAATTGTTCAACAAAGCATTTACAAAGTGATTTAAAAAGTGTTCGTGCAACGGAGGTGATTTTAAATAAAGATCAAAGCGAGAAAATAAAATTTGAAGAGCGAGGGATTATTATCCAGTTGCTTTGGTTACTGCGATTCTATTATTTCGTGAGTATCAAGCATAATATTCCATAATTATTAACTATCGATTAGTATTGCGATGCGTTTCACGTGATCCGACGGCAAATTAAATTACTGTGCGGAGAATTCTGTCAAATTTTGTGTGTCATGCAAAAACGTTTTTGGATACGCTATTTTTAGCACAAGAAACGTATTTTCGGTGTGTATAAGGTGATTTTGCGGATGCCGCATCGGGTGAGTGGTGTGAAAGTGATTAATTAAAATTGTGCAGTCCCTGTATACTTCGATATGACATGGCCTTGAATTTCCTTGTGTTGAACCATATACTCGTACATATCAAGTTTCAATATGTTCTCATGTGCTAAAAGGACAAATAAGAACTACGCGGTACATAAACATCTGATACAATTCTGCACAAGAATCAATTCAATGGAATTAAACGTTAACCTTGACATAGTAAAACTGTATAGCCTATGGTAAACAGCCCAGAAAATTCTTTTGTGTAATGTTATGAGATGGGTCATTATTTCTAAATTATTTCACATGTGAAGGTTTCAGTTTATTCCATGCATGCCAAATATTGTATAAACCAATATGTAGAATTTACTAGCTTTTGCCTGTGAATGTCCACCCGTAAGTAAAAAAAGTTAGCAACATATGTGGTCTTCTAGACTATGTATCTTCTCTGTGTCTATGCTAAATTTCATAGAGATCTGTTTAATCATTTAGCAGAAACCTTGTAGACACACATCCATCCATCTAAACATTGTATTTATATTAGTAATTTAACTAGGTATAAAGTTAAATGTAATAATTGTTAATTATTATTTATAAATTCGCATAAAAAATGCAATTTTCCAACACCAAAATATATATGTGCATAAATGTGTTAGTTTTTAAAAAGCAAACAAGATGATTTTTTAAACATAAAACCAAATCAACTCTAAATATGTGTAGATAAATGCATTAAAACCTTTCAGAACTCCACACATAAACATTACAAAAAAAATTATAAATAATTAAATTATTTCATGTTAAAATAAATGATAAGTTAATAAAAAAATAACATTAGCCAATCAATAATACGAAGGGCCTTACCAAAAAAATATTAAACATTGATTCAAATACATTTTACCTAACTCAATTACCCTTTTATGTAAGCCGAGAACAATTTTGTACTGTTTCAACATTGGAAACTCATGATCACAAACATTCAACAAATATTGTCCTACAAGTGAGTTTTTGACCAAAGATTATAATCAATGTATTATAGAAAAGCTGTTGCTCGCAACTTCACTCATGAGAAATTAAAAAATATACCCTATGTTACTCACAGATAAAGTGCCTGTCTAACGGTGAAAGAATTTTTAAAATCGGCCCAGTAGTTTTTGATTTATTTCAATACATAGAAAAATACAAATCTTTCCTCTTTATTATATTAGTATAGATTATTACTTGAAAACTTTATAAGCTGGTTGTTAATTTTAATAAAAATATAGGATCTTTTCTCTTGTTAGTGAAAATTTATAACACATTGCAATAATGTTGCTATAGGAATAAGAAAGATCAAAAGACACGTTCAAGATCAAAAAATTTGTAATATAAAAATCTTATAAAGATTGCTTACAAATAACATAAATAATAGCAGAAAATATGTAACTGTAACTAGGCATTTTACACTCTTGAAAATATAAAGATAGTCCCCATTCTACAGTACAGTACAGTTAAAATGTACGTCTAATTCTAAAGTCATGGAAATAACTTCAAATTTGTTTCAGGTGTGTTCTAAAAATGCAAAGAAAGAGACCACCAACGAGGATCAAACCGACTACCTACTAATACAAAACTAAGCTAAGCAAACTATGTGATAACTGCATAGGCTAAGTCAAATACGTCCAAGATGCCAGTTGTTTCACCGTCACGGTATACATCCACCTCTTCCAACCTTACCGGATCATACCGGTCTACTCTGACCTCATCTTCTAGCTTAGATAAGCCATACTACAGGTCTACAGGTACATATACCACGTCCACACTAAGAAGCTCCTATGGAGATAGGACCACAGAATATAAATCAAGGTACTCAGATGTCGATGGAAAGATTGAAAGGAAGACCTCCTTGGTCGAGTATACAAGGAGTTCCCGAGCCCCTAGTGTTACAGATTCTGATAGCGGGATATCATCAAGATATAGAACGGATAGAAGTGAATCCAGGTCAAGAGATATATCAACAACGCGCAGTGAAAGCAGTAAAGCGGACACTTCTAGAAATTCAAAGAGGGGCTTTATTAGTTCTGCAGCTTTAGCGATGTCAACCGCTGAGTTGTACAATAAGTATTCTCCAGCGAACTATATACCGTTAACGCAGAGAATCCAACAACAACAGCAGCAAAATCAGAGTAACTATGGAGAGATTGCGAGGTCCAAGTCTATATCTAATGATATTGGACGACCGCCCGCACCAGATTCATATAGGGCTGCCCGAAGAGCGAGGAATACAACTGCTGCGACTATAACAGAGGTAAATATTAATGTAATTACAAATTTAAATGTATAGTTATAACGTTGGATGTCTGCGAAATACAAGCTAGTTTCTTAATTTTGAATTTTAAATCATATTTGAAAGAACTCTTCTAATAATCAGTTAAGTTGTGGCAGTGTACATTATTCAATCTCCCTCTCATTCTATGTAAAAAATAGAGACAGCAATCTTTTTGTTTTGTTCCCTGAACACTAACATTTAAAAAGTTATACAATTGAAAAACCACTGTTGTGTTTTATCTTTGTTGTTTGTGTTGCTTTTAAATATTTAGTACTTTATTTTGAAAGTATTTGAAATTACGTGAAAAAAAATTATAAAACAGACACTACACTAAAGCGTATTTATTCTTTTCTAATAGTAAAGAAGTAATTTCTGTCTGTTCTGATTTTTTTTTAAATTTCAAGCGTACATTTTTTACTTTAGCAAACAGACCGTGAGCATTTTCTCTAATTTATTGCAATAAAATAATTCGTAACGATGCGTCAGTAAGGTTTTTTAGTCAACTGAATCAGTAATGTTTACTCATATTAGTAAAATTTATAAGTTTGTGATCGCGTATACTCTAAACGGCTGAACCAATTTCGCCGATTAGGGTGTCCTACGATCGGTATTCATCACTTAAGTGTCATAGGGTACAGTCATTCGGAGTTTTTTTTAATAATTGAAAATTAGAGTATTTTTAAGGTAGAACTGTTGCCTCAGGTCATGTTATTGTAGTCAAACCATATAGAAATAGATGTAATATCATTATGTACTGCGCAGTAGACTATAGCCGTCACTTCTGAAGCCATTTACTGGTCTCAGTATAAATAGACATTGTTATATACCTATTATATGTACTAAGGTCTGACTACTAGCTTATGTAAAGGCTTACCAGCTGTTAAGTTCATAAGACTCTAAGTAAACATTCAAAGGTATTATATTCGTATTTTATCTTAGAAATATATAAAAATGAGGAGACGCATCTATGCCTCATCCTAAGTACATGCTGTCTATGGGTTACGGTACCTTATAATTGGACAAAATTAAACCTTAATTGTTAATGATAGGGTTCACTTTACCAAACACTGTCATAGAAAGTATATGATGTTCGCAGTACTTCGTTTATTTATTTTATTTGAACCTAAAATCCACTTATAGTTAGAAAAAGATTTTACTCTTACTTTCAAAACTCACGACCGAAAGATAACTTTTGCTTTTTCGAATCCTAAACGTTCTAAATTGCTGGAACAATTCAATTTGCGTTTTCACTTTTTGTTCTGGTTCACAATTAGAAGAAAAAACAAAAACTTTACGGTGTTAAGCATAGGTCAATGACTTGTACTTCAAGTTTATTAAATTCATAATATCTTTATGCGTGTGCATAATTAGTGATTATGTTGATACAGGATGTGGAAAATTTTATAGATTTAACTAGTTTAAAATCACCCTATAGAAGAGATGGTTTAGTCTGCCCTTGTAGCTGCTATAGTTTTGATGGATTTTCGTTGTTTTTTTGGAATTGTACTAAGAGTCGTTGATCACTAACGGAATCCCTTAGCGTAAATTTTAACTGACCAATAACTGATTGAGAGTGAAAGTAACAGTTATACCTAAATTAAATCACTTTTGAGCAATTTTATATTAAACGATGTCAACTCCACTTTACCTCCCCTAGTCTTCTTGGCAAGACCAAGTTATTTGCGTAGAAAACTTTTGTAGGTGAAATATTTCACAAACAAGTAAATCTTGTAAGTTCCCATTGCGGAAACACCTACACACTTTTTTCCTTGAAATCCTAGATTTTTTAATATTTACTTCGAAAAAAAAAATGATTAATACATCCTATAAATATCACAAAGCAAAAAAAATACACGCTCTTAAATTGATTTTTAATTAAATTTTATTGCTAATTTTTTATCTTTTCATTTTATTTAACTTAAGACTGATAGTGTAGATATATTCTTATCATTATTTCGCAGGCAGACATCGTCGTGTGCGCGCGTGTGTGTGTGTCCGTTCATTAACAACCGCACTAAGAAAGCCATGTTTACTATCTTCAGCTTTCAATTGCCTCACTGTATACCGACTGAAAGTATTTTTCTATAACACAATGCAATCTCTATCTTATAGTTGTAGTTTAAAGTTCATTTCGCAATAGCAATTTGTTTTTGATCTTTCCATCGGTATCGCCTCAGTAGTAACAAGTAGAGAAGGCAAATTGTTCGCGAGGTCCAAAATCTCACCGTGGACCACGCGCCCCAGCATGTTGGAACTAACACACACAATCACATTGCGCATTTAGTCATTTATTTCATATAAATATGCCAGTATTCATTATTTTTATGGACTTCATCTTGATGTTAGATAAATCGATTTTAAAACAATCATCATTATGAAGTCCGTGCGAATAAAATATTACTTTCAACAACGCCAGAAACCTGAAGGAAGAAGATCGTATAAAGAAAGCTCACCAACTTCCGGCTACAGCAAAAGGAATTCGATCTCCAACGGCGTCAGGGACAGTAACGGCAACGAGGTGCCCACCGTCTCCGAGATACGCAGGAAATTCGATCCCAAGATGACGGTCACCAAACTACCCGCGAACGATACAAGAATATCAGCTAAAAAATCTGTAGAACAATATCTTAGCCAACTGAAGGAATGTGAAAACGGTTCCAGTGGCTACACTAAGGCTGTGTCTAAGGAGGACCAGCCTGTACCCGTCCATTTGCCATACGTTGAAAAGAACGGAATAAGTCATAGGTGGGAAGTTGGCTCGTCCAGTTCCAGATCGAATTCAAACTCTGATATTTCAATCAGTAAGACAATATCGGAGCCCGTGTCACTCGCTAAACCTAAAGTCGATAACACCACTATGTCAATTTCCTTTACGGCGAAGTTACCTTCTGAAAGATTAGCTAGCATCAAAAGTCAATTAGATCCTAATAATCCTATTGGAAAGATATTAGAAAAATCAACAGTGATACAAGTAGCTAACGGTGATATAGACAACACAGAGCGTAACAAACTAGCTAGAAGTAGTCCCGAAGTAAAAGTTAAAGAATCTCTAAAGAATGATATAGAAAAGCAAGTAAAAGTTCCGAAGCACACTTCGAACTTTGCATCGTACATACAAATATCACAACCTATCGCTTCGGGGACTTCCACACCTAAAATATCGAAACAAACAGACATGAACAATATTATTAACGATGAACTAACTCAAGCTGAACTAACAATCAAACCGGAACTTAAGAAAAGTAAAGTCAATTTGAAATATATAGACTCTGAGCAGGAGGACCGCCTAGCTTTAGAGGAAGTAGAATCTCCCAGTGGCACTGGTTTTGAGAACAAAACCTTTGAACACGAGAACTATTTGAAGAAACGATCCGAGAAAGATGTAGACGAGAAGGAACTAGAAGACGGTGTGAAGTCAATGGAAACGAGCACAGAGAGTACAATCAGCGAGCCCACAGAAGACTCCAGTCCTGAAACCCCGTCATCTAGAAGACGAATCCTGGATATAAAGGATTACGAAGATATTAAAGCGGTAAGTAATCACTTTATTAATTGGAAAAAATGTATTTAGGTAATTTATGCAAATGGTAACCAACAACAAATTGTGCAAAATAATTCCTGAATGCAGATTTTTATTCACAAATCTTTCTTATAATCTATAAGTTATTGGCTCTATAGTAATAGTTTTAGACTGAATATCAACAAGAATACCTTTCCATTTTTACCATACCATAACTTATTCTTTATATTTGTATGTATTACTTACGAAGTCAAACAAATTATTTCTTGATCACGATATTACTACCACCAATATATGTGAAGTATTTTAATTAGTCTGCTAAATAAAGCATGTTTTAATAAAATATCTTATTTTCCGTTCGAAGGGATGGGTAGATTTAAAATACAAAATGTCGCAATCTAAGGCTATTGCTTTGGATAGTTGTAACCAGACTTAATGTTTGCCGTCTAATAAAATATTCATTAAAAAACAAGCCATACGTCAGGTTGGCGCCATCTTTTATATGACAAAGTACTTATTGTTTACACGAAATGTATTTTCCCCTATTCGTCATCGCTATAATTATGTCCCACTGAATATTCTGAACAATTTCCCTAACAATGTTCCTCGTGAAATGAACATTTACCTGGAATATATAGTCTATGCGCTTAATCCAGAAATCTGAGTTCCAAATTTTATCTAGATCCATGCAGTTGTTTTGGAGTTAGCTAACACCATATATCCAAACTGTCGCAGTTATAATTTTACACAAATATGTTCTTATCAATTCCCACAAATAATTCGTTAGTGAAATGCAAAATACCTTTGGGTTTCAGTTTAAAAAAAGATTCTGCGAGTTCGTTGGCATTTTGCTATTGGGGACATTTATTTGTGTGTGTGTCCCCGTGTTTGTGTGCGGATGTTTCAGGCGTATCTGTTCTTAGGTCGTCTAGTTTTGATCTGTCGTCTTATTATAACTTTGATTACCGCATGGTTCTTCGGTCAGCGTGCCAGAGTTAACTAGATACGCTATTTGATAATCAACTTGAGTAGGCACTTTCCTTCTTTCAAAAATACTCTTTTTTTATTAAATATCATATAGACAAATTCAAAAGATTTCGAAAGTCAAATATTTGTTCTGTACCAATTAGTCGAAGATTCCGTTTCAATATAATCAATTGCGATCAATAAACTCCAAACAATACGAGCATTTTTACAACGGTCGTCTACACGGGCGTCTCGTGTCCTCCATCTGATAGAAAATCACAAACTATTAATATAACAACGCGAAATGTAACATCCCGAAATAAAACTAGGCGGGAAATTATTACAGTACGATACCACGTTTTCTCGAAACAATTCAAAAGTGTCGCCATTTTGTGACGCGCGCCTTTTTTTTGACGTTTCGTTTTCCGTTTCACGCGAATTTTCAAACGTCTCAGAGTTTTTAAATTACCTGCGTTCAATCAGTATTATTTCATTACTTAAAAAGTTGTTTATTAGTAGGGATTTTCTTAATTATTTTGTGATGAGATAGTGCTGATTTTATTTAATTTTTTCATTACACAGAACGTGTCTAATATTAAAACATTAGAAACTTTTTCGAATCATTACACGTTTCGACACTGGCAGCTTTTATTAAATTTCGAAAATTCCATCCCTGTCAAATTCCGATCAGTTGAATATTTTTGATAATTTTGCAAGTTAATTTTGAAACGGATATTTATGTGGATTTCGATTGTTAATTAATTTTAGGTGAGTTTGATTTTTTAAACGCGTAAAGGAGCTGACATTACGTAGGTAGATGGCGACTGAGTCAAGGACCGACGGCATAAATACGCGGCCATATTTGGAAACAAACGGCTCGTTGGTCAGGTTTGTTGATAACTGAGATCACTGTTGTTGTTACAGACCTGACCTTACGTATACATTGACACATTTGGTAACCAGTAAGTCGTTATTATCTTGATCTAGTTTATCTCAAAATCTTTTAAAGTTCATGTTATAGCTCGAAAATGCTGATATCTGTACATAACTATCCAGGTAAACTGGGCTAAGGTTTAAAATTCAATGCCAAAGTGTTTTAGTTTAGGTACCTATTATTATTTGCAATGATGGCCTCCAACTTTAGTCTATAGATAGACTGTTATATTAATAGTGATCGTTTCATCAAATTCTTTTTTTATGAAGATTCTATCGCCTCATTACTGCATCTTTATCATTTTTTTTAAAACGCTGGATAGATGGCGCTATTTGATTTAAAATTCGCGCTATCTTTTGCTCTTCCGTGTACACGTTTAGAATTTAACAAGTAATTAATTTCATCGTATCGTATTTACTGGTGACTAGTTGGAATACAGTTCACACCAGAAGCGCGGTTCACACTTGGCTAGCATGATTGGTCAATAATGCTTAATAAATGGACTGACATTAATTTGCCTAGTAACGTTAACTGGCGCCAGTGGGTCCATACAATCCATGTTGAGCCTGCGCGACTGTCTAACTGTACTGGACAAGTGTGAACCGCGCAGTCACTTTATTATTGAACATCAATCCACTGCACACGAGTTTAGCTGCCAAAATATTATAAAATTATCTTATTTACAAAATTATAATAAAAGTAATAAACTTAATCCTTACCTTTATATCGTTTACAAGCAAACTATTAAATTGACCTTGATATATGAGTTTGTTCTTGAAAATTTTATCCAGATAACGTTTCAAAGAAGTCTCTCACGTCGCATGACTACCGACCATTGATAACTGAGTACATACATTTTTGATAAATAATATCTACATATACACGGCTACTTCAAGATAATCGTATAGTCTCGATTGTGAAATTTGGCAATAGGTTTTTGGCTAAGCACCTCCGACGGCGCCCAGTGCGCGTCCCGCCCTCGCGATGGCCGCCACGTGACGTCACAGCGCGCGAAATGCTCTTCTCCGCGGGAATTACTTAACTCGGTCGCCATTTTTTCGCAGTTTCCCGCTAATTTTTCTGTCAATGTCAGTTTTTTTTCTATCTTGCCAGCTTCTTTGCACGCATAGTGTATTAGAGTTTTATATTCAAAGTGTTTTTTTATTAAATTAACTAAAATGACCTTGCACGCTCGATTGTTAAATATATCAGTGCGGTGACATTGCCAAGAGCTAAAGGAAATTGAAAGTGAAGTCTTATTGTGAATGTAATAGGAATCAGCGTAGATTGAAGATAGATTTCATTAAAAAAAATCAAGTTTTCCGAATTTTTTGTGTTGTGACGTAAAATGTGATAGTTATGTAACTTATAATGGCCATCTTCAATGTTTAACGTCCGTTACTACAATTTTCATAATCTTTATCAAAATCAACGTTAGATAATATTGTTTTGTCAAAGTTTTAGTTACATTTAGATTGTAATTACTCGGATCGTTTGAGACATTAATTGTATACTTTTTTTCTAATATAAAAAGTTTTTTTTAGTCTTTTTGCTGCCATTCTACACGCGATCGCAACTTTTCCGAGGTCTTATTTGTTACTGTTATGTTAATTTTATTCAGACCGAGCCAAAATTTTTAATCAATAACTGTCTCCAGACAAGATAGAGTTCGTAAGATTTATCATATTTCACTATCTTAACTGGATTCGATAGAATAAAACAATATCTATTTGACGTCACTAACTGGCCGTTATAACTGCAATATAGTAACAAAAAAAATAAAGAAGAAAAAGTAAAGACTTATTAAGAAAGGAAGCGACTATAAATTGTGCTTAAAAATATTGACTGATAAATTAAAAAATTAAACATCAAACAAATAAGCGCGTGTTTGAGCGGAAAGATATTTTCATTATTTATCTTTGAAGATATAAAAGGAAGTTATATGTGGTTTGTTTGCATCGAAAGTTATCAGAGACATTTCAAGTGACATATTCATAGGATACGACGTCTAATATTGGACACCACTATAGATACGGGACTTGATTGACCAGTTTATTTTGACCTGCCTATACCAACGAGAGACTAGGTGGGAGGGGTCTCGCGCTGGTTTATGCTGACATACTACGAGCTGGTGATCCTGGCATGCGTGACGACCAGCCTGTTGGCCGCCCTCGGCAATGAGGTGTGGCTGTCGGTACTTCGAGCCGCGCATGCCCCCGGCCGGCCGGAGTTATGCCCTCAATACCTACCAGGTCCTCGTCAAATTTATATAGGTTTTTAGTTATATGACTGTAGGTAGATACTGTGATACAGGGGGTTTCAGTTGATTACAATAAATACAATTTTTGTGCACTGTTTTTTAAACATACAGTAATATCAAGACTGGTACTGAAATGGGAAAAACATTTTAAGTATGGTCTCATTAAGTAATTAGTGTTTTCAATATATTTTTGAACATGGTTCAAATCTTAAGTAAAAGAATGAGATTGACCCCTTAGCAATGTCGTGTTATGAAGCCTAGGATGGATGTAAGTAACTTGATAGATACTTTTATAATCAATTATTATCTAAATATCTCTTTTCGTGAGATGTTTATATTTTTTTCACAATAAAATCGCCACCAAAGTTTCAACACCCTGTATCTTCCAATCCATTACTGCATTATATGTCTTTCAATGCCTAGATCTAGCCACAATTCGAAGTCTAACAAGGTCAATGGTCTGTAAAAGGGGTATGGGGTGCGATACACCCCCTTTCTACAGCGGCCAAGATTTATTTATAAATAACGATTTTTGTATTCAACTCTTGCATGAATTCCGGATTCTTGCAAGTGATCAAAATAGTGAGTTTCCACTGCTGAAACTCGTGTAAAAAAAATTTTGTTTTTTTTTTCTCGAAGGAACTGATAGAAAGAGGTAGATGTTTTTTTACAATTTTCTTAGTAATGGAAACTTATGGTAAACGTTCAACATACATCCTTTAATTCACGCGTATTTTTTTTTAATTTTTTTAATATTACCGATCGACTGAAACCCTCTTATCTCAAAGTGTAATATAGCTTTAGTAGTATTAATATACTTAAAATAATTTAAACTTAGGAAATATAATTAAAAAGTATGTCTTTCATATGATATTATTCATATATTTGGTTGAGAAAATATTTTAATTGAAAAATAATGGTCAACGCACAATAGAACGCGGTGGCCTCGCTAGGTGCGCGGGCGAGCGACCGTGGCGCCCGCACCCGCCTCTTGCCGCGGTGACGCCGACCCGAATGGTATCCCCTCGAAACCTCGACTGTTCAAGTGTGCTGTAAAATGAGGATTCACACACTGTTTTAAAAATGTTTGACTATCCGGTGGCGAAATAACTGGACAAGTATTACTATCTTTATTAATTTCAAAGACATGAGTACGACGACAATGTATTTTTTCTACTGGTTCTTTTATTTAAAAGACGGGTAGTTTACTACTGCTTCTAAGCGATATGGAATTATATTAATTTGGATTTTTGTTATGCGACAGTGATTGAATCGTCATTTAAACGTGGAAAAATTGCTGTTTTTCGTTTGGTGTGCGTTGCTCTTTACTTGGATTGATCATTTCCACATTTAGTACTGTTGAGAATTCTCTTTGACATTATCACCCAGAGATTATTTTAAATAGTCTTTATAAAGAAAAAAAGTCTAGGATTTCAGGTAAGATTAAAAAACACGTCAAAATATATTTTTTTTTTCAAATTTTTAATTTTTCTGAGCCAATAACTTACAGGTTATATCATAAATGTGTTTGTTTTGTATTTGTATTGCATGTTTATTGTATTTTGTTTTGCTTTTTTGTAACATAATAACAAGTTTTAGTTTTTGAATTCCTAGAGTCGTTTTTAAACTTGTAACCATGGCACACGTAGTCTTAATAAATTTGTCTGTGGAAACATTGTGTGGTTATGGGATTTATGTTGGTTTATGTGAACCGTAGAATTTTATTTTATAACGAATTGAGGTGATCCACACTGATGTTATAAAGATTTTTTAAACATTTTTTTTTTGCAGTTTATAATTTTTTTTCAAATAGTTTAACCACCGTTTCTATTTTAGTTTCTTTTTAATTTTAATACTTCTGGTGTTTTACATTTTGTTTGAATCTACCTCAAATTGTTTACGAAAATAGTGGTAATTTTGTTTAATTTAATTTGCCAACTCTATTGATAGGATTATAGAGTTGTTTTTAACGGTCAATAGTACTGTGCCTAAACCAAACATATGAAAAATGTTATCAAAATGAGTATGCTGCAACAGACTAGCAGTCGATTACTGAATCGAAACACTTAGCTTAGTGCTTCCAATCTGACAGTAGTATGTAATAGCATATTTAAATGTCGTTTACTCTACCGTATACCAGATAAATTCATCATTATCAACTTGCCCTTATCCCTTACGGAGGTTCGGTACAGTATGTGCTGCTCTTCCATGCATCTATCAGCCGTCATGTGAATCCACTCCTTTTTTAAGCATATCCTCGTTCGCACAATCCATCCATACTTTCTTCGGTCTACCTCTACCTTTGTAGCCAACCACATTCAATTTTAATACTTTCTGGTTTATCATATGTCCCCCATTATCTCGTCGCCCATGTCCATACCATGCTAACCTTTTGCTTCTCAATTTCTCAGACCATATATATTCCTTTTCAATATTAATTTCAAATGAGTTGTAATGAGTAAGCCATCGTGACTTACCACTTTGATACGTCACCATGGCAACTGATAATTTATTGTTGACGATTTGGTAACCCTTAACGGATAACAAGGTAAAATTACTAATAAATTGTTTAGTTATTGTTACTATATGGGGTTGAGGGGAAAAGTTTACGTAAATATAGTTTAGGAAATTTCCAATTGCCCCAAATACGATTGAAATTTAACAACTAACAAGATCTATAATGGAGAGGTTAAATAAATATTGTTATTCATGTATTGTACAATTTTTAATTTCAATATTGAAAATCTGATGTTTAACGATTACGTTTTAATATCGAAGTCTAGTGCAGCATACTCATTTAGTGAGTGTAGCTCAGTTATTGAGTTGCTGATCGTGAGTGTTGGTCAGGAATTGGCCGGCGGCAAGAGCGGGCCTAGCGGGCTCCGGCGCAGCAGTGAGCGCTCCGACTCGGCAGAGCCGAAGACTGAGCGACAGGCCAGCCACACCAGCGGTGAGTATACTCATGTTTGTATATTTTATTATAGTTAGAATTAATGAATTATGGAAATACTTTATATTCAAGTGTGTGGTATGTTTACGAACAAGAATTATCATTTTACGGTAATTTTTATACTAGACTAGCTTTCGACCGAGACTGTCTTCATGGAATTATAAAAACAAAAGTAAGTAGACTATGCTCTACATCTATGCAATATTTAATCGAGATCCATTCAGCAGTTTAGGCTACAAACTCTAATATTCAATCTATCTTAATTCTCGTATTTATAATATTAGTAAGATTAGAGAGTTTACTTATTGTGTATTGTTTTACGATAATTTCAATTTGAAATACTCTTTAGTAATAAGGATGTATTACGTGTAAGAACAGCAAATAGATTTTGCAACTTATATCTGCATAAATTGTCAATAATTTTAAAAACGGAAGTGTTTTCTAGAATAACATAGGGATTACTTCATCGAGAGGTCTATACTTGTGTATTTCAGGTCTGAACGGTCTGCGCAACATTGGCAACACCTGTTTCATGAACAGTGTGCTGCAGTGTCTGTCCAACACGCGGCCGCTGCTCGAGTACGTGTCGGAGGACAAGCACGGACAGGAGATCAACACCACGCTGTCCTGCATGAAGGGCGCGCTCATCAAGGGTGAGTATAATTCAAACAGGAATTGTCTTCGGGTGTTTGGAATTGCCAGTTACCTATTACTCTCTCTGGTATACATACAAAACAAGGTTTCCCATCATTTCCTTTCGGAAACATTAAAACTAAAACACTCCTATCTATGTGCGTCTCCTCCTCTGTCACTTAAAAGTAGGCAACGTATCTTCAATTGCGTATGTCTTTGGGCAGCGGTCGCTTCATTTCGGCGGATTCAGGTGGCCGCTTGCTCGTTGGCCACCTTATGATATAAAAAAATTCATCGATATCGGTTCAGTAGTTTAGACTACAAACTCTTACAAACAATCATCCATCGAAACTTTAACACTTATAATGGTAGATAATAAAATGTAAACACATATAACACTTTTTTTAAATAAAAAGCCCTACACTTATGACACCTTTTAGCCTGTATATTTTTACATTATTAAACTTTGGAGGGAATAAATTGGAAAATATCATGCAAGAAAGGGACAGAAACTCCAAGCTAATAGCAAAGAAGCAAGATTATCATGGTAACCAATAGCAAAGGTTTTTATATTTAAAGTTCTATTGAATGTAAACAATAAAGTTTTTATAATTTAATGCGGTTAAAGCCGCATGGCAACACCTAGTCTCAGTTATAAAATGTTTTTATGTAAGTTTTGTAAATCAATACTAATGTGGTGTATTTGTTTCGCGTAGCGTTCGCAAGTGTAATAAAGGAATTGTGGCGAAGCGGCGAACGCGACGCCGTAGTGAATACAACCAGCCTCAAGTCCCAGGTGCAGCGCTTTGCTCCCCGCTTTATGGGATACAGCCAGCAAGATGCACAGGTATGGGACAACACGACACTATTTTAGGAACAAATGTATTCATCATCCACTTGCCCTTATCCCTTATGGAGTGTCGGCACAGTATGTGCTGCTCTTCCGTACATCTCTATCAGCCGTCATATCTGAATCCACTCCCTTCTTAAGCATATCCTCTTTCACACAATCCATCCAGACTTTCATCGGTCTTCCTCTACCTTTGTAGCCATCCACATTCATTGTCTCGTCGCATAACATGTCCATACCACGCTAACGTTTTGCTTTTCAATTTCTCCACCACTGGCTCTACTTTCAAACTTCCTCTAATATACACATTCTCAACTTTAAGAATAAATGTATTCGCATAATTATAATAAATTTGATTATGTTCTACATCTATGCCACATATCATCCAGATCCGTTCAGCCGTTTAGGCTACAAAGTCTAACAAACATCCATCCATCCAAACTTCCCATTTATAATATTAGTATGATTAGCTTTTTGAATTTCGGACGAAGTCGTGATCTGCATCTAGTAAATAATATCCAAAACCGAAACAGCTGTAGTATGTTTATTTTTGTTTATTTATTTATACAAACAAACACACAATATCACAATTAAAATATAATTTTACAAATACATTTCTCACATTTTTTTGAAAGAGATACTTATATATAGTTTATACTTGTTTGACCCTTGTTAAAATGAGTTGAACCGACATTCTTGAGTACCATCTCGTCCTGAATGATAAGGCACGCAGTCATTACATAGCTACGCAGCACAACAAACTTACATCTAAAAGAATAGTTTATTTTTTCTTTTAATTTGCATAGATATATGAGTATAGAAGCGAGAGAAGTATGTCAAAGCTAAATCCATGGTTCTTGGATGTCTGTCTACCCATATAGGTTACAGGCGTCATTTATGTTTTATATTACTAGCTTTCTCCCATAATTACGTCCGCGTAGAATTTTAAATAACTTAATAGCCTATTTGTTCTTCCAGACTGTTCTCTACATCTATGCTAAATTTAATCAAGATCCCTTTAGCAGTTTAGGCTACAAACTCTAACAAACTACTGTCCTTCTAAACTTTTGAATTTATAGTATTAGTAAGATTTTCAAAAAAAAAACTTCGAAAGCAGATATTCAGATCTTTTTGTTAGTAATAATTATGCCCATCATATTAATATTATAAATGCGAAAGTTTAGATGGATGGATGTTTGTTAGAGTTTGTAGCCTAAACGGCTGAATGGATTTCGATGAAATTTAGCGTAGACGTAGAAGATAGTGTAAAAAAACACATAGGCTACTCACTGTTGTTTTTTTTTAAATTCCACGCGGACGTAGTCGCGGGCGAAAGCTAGATTATAATCGTATGGTTTGTTGGTATTATAGGAGTTCCTACGATACTTGCTGGAAGGTTTGCACGAGGATGTAAACAGAGTCACCATCAAACCTAAACCTATCCTTACAGAAATCGATGACAATCTCAGGTATGTTGATCCAAAATTTAGTGTGTTTAGAAAGTCGTAGACCCGTCATGAAAATGTCACGTCTAAAATAGTTTAAAATATGTAATCTAAAATAACAAATGCCTTATCTTTGTAATTGACGGTGAAGGAGACGCACAAGAAGGGGAAATATCCTCTTTATGTGCGTCTCCTCCGTCAATTAAGGGTAGGCAACGCAATTGCGGATATCTGGGCAGTGGTCACTTCTCTATTTTGGCGGATTCAGGTGGCCGCTTACTCGTTTGCCACCTTATGTTATAAAAAAAAAACTTAATGTTGCCATAGCAACGCGGTAATAACAGTTTGTGTACGTTAGTGACAGTGCGAAAGCGGCGGAGGCGTGGTCGCGTTACCTCCGCATGGAGGACAGCCGCGTGGGAGACATCTTCATGGGCCAGCTCAAGTCCACGCTGCGCTGCACGCACTGCAACCACGACAGCGTCACCTTCGACCCCTTCTGGGACCTTAGGTAAACCTCCAACCACGACGTCAACACTGTTATAAGGACGGACCTACATGTGATAACTTAAAAGTTTAGCTGAACGAGCCAATCTAAAATTAGCACAGGAACGACTTAGTTCGTCTCTACCTTCGTTAAACTGAACTTTGGAATACTTTTGATTATCCGTGCATCATTTTGCGACAGTAAATGTATTTTTAGGCGAAGGTTAAATTTGATAAAAACAGATCTAAGCCTTAGCATTTATGAGTATGATATAATATGAAATGTCCACCAGTCTGCCGATCCCGTCGCGCACGGGCAACCTGAAGTTGCAGCAGTGTTTGCAGCACTTCGTGCGCGAGGAGGAGCTCGACGGCGATGAGAAGCCGGTTAGTATTGCGCTGCCCTCGGCGATAGATGGCGTTGCCCTTGTCGATAGATGTTTAACATCTGTTAACGATAGATGGCGTTGTAGTTATGTTTGCTTTAAGTTGTGGTTTACTTTATCAAAATTTACCATTGTTGAATAGAAATAAGTAGTTTTCTACGTCATAAATAAGTAAAATAAATCAATCATATGTGATTGTTCCTATTCTTATGAAATACAAATGTAAAAAAAACTTTATTTTTAATTTTGATAAGCATATGTGATTTTCAGACGTGTTCAAAGTGCGGCGTGCGGCGGAAGTGCCTCAAGTGGTTCACGGTGCAGAAGTTCCCACAAGTCCTGGTGCTACATCTTAAGAGGTACGGTGCTTTTTTATACAGACAATGTAATTTATTGTCTATAGATTTCTTCTAAGACCTATAATTGATTAAACCGATGATACAAACGTGTCTGTTTTTATTAAGTCTGTGATCGATTATCATGTCCATAGAATTTGACTAGATTGTATATATTCCAGGTTCTCGCCGACGGAGCGCTTCCGCGGCAAGCTATCTGTATGCGTGGAGTTCCCGCTGAACGGACTGGACATGTCGCCCTTCGCCGCCTGCCGCTCCGCGCAGCCAGTCTACAACCTATATGCTGTTAGCAACCATTCAGGTAAGCATATGCACGTAAAGTCGGGGAAACTAGCGGTGTTTCACCTTAAAGGCTTCAATCGTTTGAACATTTAATAACGAGACGCGGAACAAAAACCTATCTGTCGTATCTAAATCTGTACCTATACGTATATGCATCTGTACCTATACGTACCTGCATCTGTACCTATACGTAGCTGCATCTGTACCTATACGTAGCTGCATCTGTACCTATACGTATCCGCATCTGTACCTATACGTATCTGCATCTGTACCTATACGTAGCTGCATCTGTACCTATACGTATCTGCATCTGTACCTATACGTATCTGCATCTGTACCTATACGTATCTGCATCTGTACCTATACGTAGCTGCATCTGTACCTACACGTATCTGCATCTGTACCTATACGTATCTGCATCTGTACCTATACGTAACTGCATCTGTACCTATACGTATCTGCATCTGTACCTATACGTAGCTGCATCTGTACCTACACGTATCTGCATCTGTACCTATACGTATCTGCACCTGTACCTTTACGCAACAGCATCTGTACCTATCTATCGTATCTGTAAGAAAAAATGGTGGTTAGTGATACATGGCTAGATTTTATTAATTATTCCTTCGTTTGCACTCGAGGTGGAGTTTGTCTCGTTGAATGAACAAGGCAATTTTTCTTAAAGTGGAACAAAGTGGGTTACCGCGACCGTACATATGTACACGCACGCACTTACAAAACGTATATGCAAACGATTTTGCTAACATAGTGTAATTTTTATTTTCAGGTACAACGTACTCTGGCCACTACACCGCGTACTGCAAACATCCCTACAACGGCGAGTGGCACGAGTACAACGACTCCAGGTATAATAATATTGCCGTCCCTCTCATTTATACTAATATAATAAAGCGTAAACACCCTTTATTATGAATGATGTCAGTAATCATAGTATTTTTTTGAGTAATTATTTTTTTTAATCAAAAACCCTACACTTATACACGCTTTAGGCTATGTATTTTCACGCTATTATACTTGGGGAGTAAATGATTTGTGAAAACCGTCATGCGGGAAAGGGATAAAAACTATACTTTGACAATAAGGAAGCAAGGTTGCCATGGTAATTGTTATCCAATGTTAAAGGCCTTCGTTGTTATTTGTGTATTTAAATTTTGACATATGCAATTGAAAATTTCACAAATGTAAACAATAAAATAAAGTTTTTATAATTTCATGCGGATCAAACCTCACGGGAATAGCTCGTTCTTTATAACAGAATAGCTGTTCACGACTTCTTAAGCGTGAAAATAAAAAAAATATGACCTATGCTACTCACAGATAAATTACCTTTCTGACGATGAAAAAAATTAAAATCGGCCTAGTTGTTTTTGAGTTATTCCAATAAATACAAAAATATAAATGTTTCCTCTTTATAGTATAAGTATGGATAACAATATATTTAATTGCAGGGTGACACCTATCAGTCCGCGCAACGTGGTCTCCCCCGAGGCCTACGTGCTGTTCTACGAGCTACAGCGCTCGTAGCGCCCCCACCCCGCGCCGCGCTCCGCTACGCACACTAACACCAACACGAACACTAACACTTACACCAACACTACACTAGTAGCACTAGTTCTAGTCACAAAAGTGTTTCCCGTTAAATCGATCGTTTTATGCTGATTGATTAAACATTCGATCCGCCCAATGGGAAAATACCATTAGGTCTATCAGCCCAACGGGAAACACCGCAAGAGCACCAAAGGTGTCTTTAGAAGGCATACTCTGTCCTCGTGTGAAAGTCTATTGCTAGTACTATTAGAAGATGAATGTAATAAGGTGCCAGTTAATTAGTGGTACATGTATTGAAAATTATGTTTTTAAATGTTTTTTTACAATATGGATTTGAAATGAAAAATGTTGGTTTTAAAATTAACTTTTTAATTTTTTTTAATTGATTTTTATTTTATTTTTTCTCAATATGGCGAGTTCGATATTCCTGGTCACGTTTATTTGGATAAAAATTATTGTAGTTACTTGCCAAAATTTTTTTAACGAAAAGTCTAACTGTTCAGGTAAAATTGCGTATTTTAACTAAACAGTTCAACTTTTTAGTTAACTCTCAACTGAGCATATGATTTTTTTATTGTAATATTTAAAAATACGGTTTTCAATATTATGTACTACGTATTTCAACCCGAATATACAAAAATCAGTGTTTTTCAGGACGCTCATTCAATATATCGTCCAAAATAGTATATAATAGTTTGGAATGGCGTACCGAGCTTGAAATGCTAAAACAGTGATTATTATGGAATTAAGTAGATTTATGTCACCGAAATGCCTCCGCCAAATGTAACTTGCCGTTCGAAGAACCGACGCACAAACAAAGGTTTTACCTCACCTAATAAAAAAAAATATTGTCTATGTCACTTACTGATAAAATAGCTTTCTAATAGTGAAAGATTTTTTGAAATCGCCCCAGTAGTTTTTGAGTTTATTTATTACATATAATAATAAAAAAAAACTCTTATTTGATTTGAATATTATATACAGCCAATTCAATTTTATTGAAATGAATAGATTTTGGAATATCAGAAACATTCTAGTCCCTTTTTTATAATTTTATCAAAGAGGAAAAAAAATATTACCTTTTTTAATAGGGAATATGCATTTTTTTCTTTTTTTTTTAACGATCTATTTGTTATAAAAACCATTGAGTTACAAAAAATAAAATAACATTACGACCATTTTCGAGCGACTAAAACTAGGTCGGAGTTGTCATGAGACGTGACATTCACGTTTTTATAGTAATAAAGTATACTTAAAAAAAGTTTGGTTCAATTTGGCGTCATATGCATATTGCCTATTGTCTATCTATTTAGTATTACAGATCTTTTTTTATGTTTTTTTTTATCCTTTCACTTAAAAACAGGTGCAGATTTTTTTTTAAATAATCGTTTAAATGTGAGTCGGTTCTTTTAACGCGAATTAGTATAAAATAGTGAAGAAATAAATCCTCTGTTAGTCGAAAAAAAAATATTTCTAAGGATTGACAAAAGTTGATCCTCTTGTACATATGCGTGTAAAGCTTATTTATTAATACAAAATATATTATCTGTTGTTGATTAAATCTAAGGTTTTTTTTTCTTTTACAAAATGGCTTAATGTTTGAGGAAGTGAGAAGTAAACGGATGTCGAACGCTGGATTTTTCGTTTAAAAACATAACTAACCAGTTGTTTTTAATTTTTAACAGTTTTATTATGTTAATTTGATATACATTTATATGTAATAACACCAAATTATTATATTCTTTTCGAAATTTCACGTTAAGTTTTATCACAAATTAATTTGGTGTTTTTAAAATTGACATGTTTTTTATAATTCATCATTTTATCACATCCTGTAGTTTGGGCCCTTTGGAATTAAATCTAATATTGGCTCTTGCTCTTGAATAAAAAGCAATTTTGTCGGTTACCTCTACAAGTAATTAAATAAAAAAAGAGAGTTTTTTTTTTTTAATTAGTCCACTCCGTCCTTTTTTAATACACAATTTTCAAAATAATAATCCTAAATTGACATTCTTTTTATTTGCATAATCTATTTAATATTTTTTTTAATCTGTGAATTTTGATTATAGTGATGAATTATAAATAACGTAATAGAATAAAAATATTATTAAAATAAATGTATTGTTTGGAGAAAAGTATATGGTTGTGTCTATGAATCGTAAATAGTAAATACATGGGGTTTCTTAATGTCGATTTCCACTATCTGGAGATGTTTTTTATATATTTTGACAGTGGAATCTTGCATAATTATAAACCATCATTTACTACAGAAATAACTGTCTTTTTAGTTATTTTAGTTTTCCGATCACCTACTAGTCAATGCTTATTCAATATGTAAATACCATAGATTTTTAATCTATGGTTAGTGTTTCATACAATAAGATTTAAATCAAGAGTGAAATGGAACGCCTTCAGAGGCCTTTGGTTTCACATCACTTTTGTGCTCTATGTCACGTATCTATAGATTATGAATCTATGGTATTTTTTTCCTATGTATTTGCGTTTACGATTCTGTAAAAGTAACCCCTAGTAGTTAAAAGTTTTACATCATTGGGGGCTCCAGTCATTTTAACGTGAGATTTTTATTTGATGATTTTAGAAAATGCTTGTTTAAAACAAATACTTTATTAAATACAAGTTGCATTTATAACAAAAAATTGTGAAGCTTTCAATACTTAGTTTTTAAAACCAGAACTTTGATTCAACACACTTGTATATTTGGATAAAAATCTCATGTAAGAATGAACAGAGAGTATAAGAAAATGTATAAAAATACTTGAGTGTGAAGCCAGTCCAAGCGCAATGCGTTCGCGAGTGTTGCCGCTATAGAAAATTGTGAGGTTAGTTAGGTATGCTTCGTTACCGCGTGATTGTTTTGTTTTTCCTTTTTTTATATATATTTATACATATAATTTTATTGTTGTTGATCATCCGTTGGGGGCGCCTGCTTCGTGCGCCGCAGTGTAAGCATTTCTAGCCTTATTAGTTGTAATTTTTAATTTTACTAACTCATCGTGTGAACATTTTTCGCCCCCCATATTTCGCAAGGCGCGCGAGTTGCGCCGGCGCCGCGATCGCCGACGGCCCCGAACTTCCGTCACTTTGACAGCTGTCAAACTGATCATAGATCAGAGCGCGCCAGACGGTCGGGCCCCGCCGACAACGTAGATGAACTAGGTGCCCCGAACGATTTTTTGTTCATTAATTTATCACAAAGGAATCTTACTTAGCCAAAGATATTAATGCTAAATTGTTATCGAAATCATTGTATTATTAATATTAAAATTAATTTATTATTTTATTATAATTATTACTGTATTTTAATACGATAAAACGGTTTGCGGGGATTGCCCTCAATAACTATTTATGTAAAATACGTAACAGATTTCTATTATAGAAATATATATTTAAAATGAGTAAATTATTAAATAAGTGTTTTATTTTAATAACCCTACAATGTTAAAAACTATACAATGTGATAAATTGCAATAAGGATTGTACAAAATTAGAACAAATTACAACGAGATATAAAGTAATAATGCAATATCGCTTTAATTCATTTTATAGTAGTAAAGGAGACATGAAAGTGTTTTAAATTTATTTTTGAAATAAGAGACCTTGTTCTACAGAATTATTATAAGCAATTGTTTTGGTCTATTTGTTACATGACAATACCAGTTGTCTATTTTTAATTCGTTGCCTAGCACACAGATGGCGCTGTTTTCAGTAATATCACGATCGATAGAGCGGTTTCATACAAAATAGCATCCCTTTGTGGATTTCCAGATTCATGAATGAACCGCGATAGTATAACCGCTATCTATTTTCAGCATTAACCATTCACATGAAGCATGAATGTAGGCGCGAGAATATTCCTCAGTCGATGTTAAATTAATCTTGAAAACGTAGCGTATGAGACGAATTTAATGAAATCATTCTTATAAGGTATTTTGAGCAAACCTAAATTGTATTTCTAAAAACTACTGGACCGATTTCAAAAATCCTATTACTATTAGAAATCTACAATATTACACTAACATTTTTAAACAACAATGTAATTTACAAAAGAGCCAAAGAAAACGTAGCATTCCAACATTCCACTAGCTGTTGTTTGCGACTTCTGTGCGGAATTTCAACCCAAAAGTTAGAAAAGTGATGTCTCAAACGCCATAACAACTTTAATTCCCGACATTTGACATGCTTCTTAGCGAACAAGAGCGACATTGAAGCAAGGCATTAGGAAGTAGTGCGGTGGGGCAACTGCCTAGGATGATGGACTTAACAAAGTGCCCCGGGTATATTTTTTATAACATGGTTTGTATCTCAGTTATGGGGCGCCATAAAAATCCCATAATCCTAAGACAAGCCCTGCGTAGTAGGTACTCTTCTGCCTGACGCGAAGTACCGGGTGCCACATGACCTTTTAACCTTTTCTATAGTTCGTAGACTGTGTCATTTAATATTGTCCAAAGAAAATTAATCCTTAAGGTTTGATGTTTCGGAATGATAAACTGCAATTTACTATCAAATTAACAATTGCTATCTCTGCCTACACCTATATTCAAAATTGTAAGTCATTATCAACATGCCCTTGTTCCTACGCATAAGTTTCTGTATTAGAGGTTTTTTGCTTATTATAAAAGTGTAATAAACATTAAAGATTCCCTATTCCTGAAGCTTGAGTGTTTTAAAATTAACGATATTTGGAAACCAAATAATTTAAATTCTCGTAGAAGATAACTTCAACTAAACTTTTTACCTAAAAAGTCTAAACGGCTAAACCTTAAGTACATTTAATTCAAAAACGAAGTAACCATTTTGTCGTTTTGTTAGAAAGATCTCTCTTTTCCATTTCTCTACCGAAGGAAAAATCGATATTTTCGTCTGACGTACCCTCCCGACTCATTTGAAATTGCCGCGTGTGACGTCAAAGCTGACAGCTGACGTCATTGCCCCCTCTCCTCTCAGTCTATCTCACTCCAACGCAAGATAAACAATGCGGCGCGAGCGGATAGCGCTAGTCGCGTAAACGTTGTGAATCGGCTTCTTTTTTTTTACTCGGACGATGTTCAACTTAAGCTCTACGCATTGATAAGAGATTATAGTGATAACGATGAATCTCTGTGTTGTTTGGCATTATATTTCGGACAGCATTTTTCATATTATAATTCTACGTTAAAGTATTATGCAAAAATGTGGAAGTGTTCGGTTTTGGACATCTTAAACATTTTTATTTCTTAATGAAAAGTCGAGGGCTGCAATTGAATGTCCCAAGCGAATGACGTGAGCGACGGTGGCGCTGCTGCGGTCGTCCTCCCTAACTAACGACAGTAGACAAGAATCGGCCGTACGATACGTGAGGCCGAGCGGTGTGTTATCGCGGTTTTTCACGAAAATGGCCAACGACATCAATTCAGAACTCAAAAACAAGCACTTTCCAATAAACCAGTTAGTATGTGTCGGAAACTATCAGCTGGAAAAGACGATCGGAACGGGAAATTTCGCTGTGGTAAAACTGGCCACACATGTAATAACGAAGACCAAGGTGGGTACTTGTCAGGTTCCGTCGCGTATTTCAGTGGTTATAGTGTTTTATTTGTGTGTTTTTTGATCTTGATAAACGTGTTTCGCATTAACGCGAACGACGAGTTCTTCACCAGTGTTTTGTGGGTGTTTTTTCGTGCTGTGTTCCGGTTTTTATTCCATACGTCTTAAGACATCGATGTCCAGGTTTGCCGTACTTTTAATAACTTGTTTCCTAAATCTGCATAGGCGAAAAGTTGCAAACTTAAAAAAAATAAAGTGAAACCGCCCAGTTTCATAATGTACTATTTACTTTGACTCCTAGTATCATTGAGCGACTCTTTCATTCGGTCGCATAATACCTTCAAAATTTCCCCCAAAGAACGAAATTGCGTTCGTTAACTTGTTCTTTTTCCCTAATTTTTTATCACAACTTTTTCCCCTAAGGCGGGAATTGTTAAATGACCTCCAAAATGTTTTTGCGACAATTATAGTCAATTGGCAAACTCACATTGTCCTCACATTCAATTATGGTGACTTGTTATTGGATGGTGAACTAAAGCGCATCTTGTCTACACGTACTAGACCTCATACACTTCCGCTACGTAATATTACTAAACATACAAGATGATAACAATCAAAAGCATTGTTTTATCTCGTTTACAATTTATTATATATCATGTTAAAAATGTTGTTCAAATAATTTATAACTTCTGGTATACTTTGATGAGTTTTTATATTGAAAACGTACTCGATTTAATTAAAGTAAAACTTGTTTTACCATCTTTATTATCATGTTCACATTAAAATTTAATCTAATAGGAATCTCGTATGATTTTTTTCTTGTTTCAAATTACGAAAATGCACGTTTAACCTAAGTTTTTATATGTTTGAAATTGTGTATATAGAAAAATAATTGTTTACTCTAATTTTCCTAACTATGATTAAATCAAGACATTTCCATTGTCTCCATCAGGTCAATAACCAGCTAACCAAAAACTTAAAACAACTTTTAGTATAGTGAAATATGTTTGTGAAAATTTATAGAAATTATACTTACATTCCAATGCTTAAATTCTTGTACAAAACATTTGACTACTGAGTTTGAGGTTAAAAGAGTTGTAATATGTATGTTAAGGGACCTCCATAGAAGATGTAACCTTATTCATCAGCGGGGTTGTTTGTTAAATGTAATCCATGAATAATTATTTTTCTATTCCTATGTTATTGATCTCGTTTTCAATAAAATGTTTACAATTTTACCTAATTATGGTAATCGATAATCATTTTTAAGGACATATTTTATATTTGTAACATACTAATATTAACGGTTTAACCAATCTAAATGAAATTTAGCTTTGTAGAACATAGTCTGGAACATGTAATTACTAATTTTTTTTAAATTTGGTATGGGTGTATGTGCAAGCAAAGTATATCGCAGCAAAGTATATATAGTAACATTTGTTATCTATATTTGTAAAAGATACACTGATAAAATGTAAATGCATGAAATTGCAAACTTATTGACATTGCATTCTTTGTTTTATAAGTAGACAGAGAAATTACTAGCTTTTGCCCATGAATGTATGCATGAAATTATAAATAACAAAAGTAAGTAGCCTATGTGTTCTTCCGGACTATGTTTATGCCAAATTTCACCAAGATCAATTTAGCAGTTTAGGCTATAAACTCTAACAAACATCCATCCATCTAAACTTTAACATTTATAATATTAGTATGATGTGTGAAAACCACAAATAATATACTGTACTAGTGAAAACCTAGCTTTTTTACTGATAAAGACTTTATAAAGTTACCCTTTAAAAACAATAAAAAAAAAGGTTTTATAAAGTTAGTACTTTACTTTTTAAAGTCTAGAAGAAATGAATTATCAAAGATTTTAACTTCAGAATTTTTTTTTAATTCAAACATTAGTTTTTCATACGATTTCAAAAATCATCCTTTATTTATTTACACCAGTAGGTAATTAATATGAAACAATGACAAACAATATTTCTCATCGATAATGACTTTTTTTAATCTTATGTTAATAAACAAAGTTTCATATCTTTTTTATTGAGATTAGAACTATTTGTGCACTGATTCGTTTCTTAATAATCAAAAATCATACTAATATTATAAATGTGACAGTTTATATGGATGGATGTTTGTTAGATTGTAGCAACGGCTAATTGGATTTCGATGAAATTTTGTATAATAGAGTCTTGGAGAACATATTGGTTACAAATTATTAGGTTTTTTAACTATATAATTGGTCATCTCATCTCATCACCAGCTCACTAAATGTCCCCATCGAGGGGCTCGGAGCCTACCCTAAATTAGGGTGATTAGGCCATAGTCAACCACGCTGGCCCAGTGCGGGTTGGTTGACTTCACACATATCTTTGAATTTCTTTGCTGATATGTGCAGGTTGCATAGCGATGTTTTTCTTCACTGTTATAATAATAATTGATTATTAACTGAAAATTAATGTTGTGCAATTGTTTATTAGTGTGCATAAAAGAATTTAACTCTGTTATATTGGGTAACTCCAGTATAATATCCAAGTATATTAATAATCACTTCTTGCTTCTGGCTTCACTTTGCCGACCGTCCATATGGGATAAAGGCAAGTGGATGATGATGATGATGATGATGATGATGACTTCTTGCTTCTGTCTTCACTTTTTCTTTCACTTTGCCGACCGTCCATCTATACTATCTATATCTATATTATTGTAATAAAGCGTAAACACACACTTCTTTGTTGCCTAAGATCTCAGCAATTATGGCATAATTTTGAATAATTATTTTTTTAATAAAAGCCCTATACTTGCTTCACACTTTAGGCTTTATATTTTAACACCATTAAACTTAGGAGATAAATATTTTGGATAAAAATCCTAATGTGGAAAAGAGACCATAAGTTGCTGCCAACATCAAGGAAGCAAAGTTGTCATCATGTCATGTCATTTTGACATTTGTGATTGATAATTTGACAAATGAAGACAATGAAATAAAACTTTCATAATTTCATGCGGGTGAACAGCTAGTAAAGGATAAGGGATAATGGCAACTGGATTATGATATCTTCTTGCTTCTTTCTTCACTTTTTCTTTCATTTTGCCGACCGTCCATAAAGGATAAGCACAAGTGGATGATGATGATGACTTCTTGTTTTCTATAGAAATTAAAATAAATTTATTCATCCATTAATATTCCATTTTCCAATATATCAATGAATCTTAAACATGTTTGTTTATTTTATTGCGGGAGAAAATATTATTACACAATTATAAGGAATAATATTCGCGTTGATGAAAACATGTTTGTTGTTATTGGCATTTTGATGAATCTTCAATGATTCAAATATACTTCATCAAACGAAATTATTATTAATTGTTTTTTTATAAAAAAACCTAAAGACTTCATAAAGAAATAAATGCAATTTTGCCTAATTTTTTTCTTTCAGCGTAATGAATTTTTTCCTCTATAGTTTTTGTTGTTTTACTCTGAAGAGGGTTTTTTACTTCAAAGATTGAAATAGTGTCATTGGAAAAAAGTCCTTTTGTGTTTTGACCCCTTTGTATAGCAATGACACTACAAATAGCAAGGGTCATAAAAATTAACTTAAATCTCCAACACAACAATATTTTGTCACCACTCTTGTACAAAACTGTTGATAATATTGTCTTAAAGACATTTAAATGATAATTACACAGGCGTTTAATGCGAAATCATACTTCTTACTTAATATTATAAATGCGAAAGTTTAGATGGATGGATGAATGGTGTAGCCTAAAGAGCTGAATGGATTTCGATAAAATTTGGCGTAGATGTAGAGGATAGTCTATAAGAACACATGGGCTATTCACATTTGTTTTTTTCAGTTCCACGCGGACGGAGTCGCGGGCGAAACTAGTAATATTATAAATGCCAAAGTTTAGATGGATGGATGGATGTTTGTTATAGTTTTAAGACTTAACCGCTGAATGGGTTTCGATGAAATTTGGTATAGATGTAGAGTTTACTCTGGAAGGACACATAGGATACTAACTTTTTTTTTAAATTCCACGCGGACGGAGTCGTTGGCGAAAGCTAGTGTGTTTACAATTTGAGTATCTTTATATGTTAATTAATATTGAATTTTGCATAGCAGTGACGCGTCGTTCAGGAAAACCGCAGACATCTGCATATCGGCGGTCAGATTGCGTCCGCGCAAACACTTCGTTCTTCTCTTTAACAGCGCTCTGACCGCGACCTTGACCGCATTGCAAATTAAGCTCTCGGTCCTAACCCTAATTTTTTGTAGAGTCTATAAAGAAAGTGGTCAATTTAAAAAGATTCTTTACTTAATCGAAACACAAAGTAATATAACCGTTTAGAAATGATTGAATTACATTAATGTTGAAATTGAACTAGAGACATTATTCTATTAAAAACTATATGCTAGGGTTGCTAACTTTTAGTTAAAATTACTATAGATACAAATACAGAGAGAAAGAAAACAACGTCTACGCTGAGCCTACTGTGGAAATAATGAAACCAGTTTTTTTTCTTACACATTACTCGAACACATCGCCGTTAAACTCATAGTCTGAATTTGCACCATGAAAATAAAGGTGGCAGCCCTAACCAAAGTTAATAAGACGAATTTCGCAAAGGATCGAAATTGGGTATTCCTTACAGCGTTCGTAACTGTTTTATCCCAGAACTTCTTCTATATTCAGTAAAAAAAAAAAACATACAGACGAATTGAGTACCTCCTTCTTTTGGGAAGTCGGTCAAAAATATGATAAACGCGCACACTAAATAACTCAAAACTGAAAAATAATGTTAAAACAATATTTAGAATACTTTCGATCCCAATAACCGATCTTTAATATCGATTCAAAGGATTTTAATTAGTATACAGCGAAAGCATGGATCGATCTCCTCAAGGTTTAAGATGATTTTTACGTAGAGAACAATCGTCGATACGGCCCCTCTACAATCACAATGTTGTAATCGCCTGTGCTATG